GGGGGACTTTCCATTCGTGGGGAGCTGCACCTGGAGGGAGATCCCACTAGCCAGGTATGTGGATTAGTGTGACGTGTGGGGGACGGGTGGGGGACAGGTGGGTGGCAGCGTGAAATAGGGAAAATAAACGTAAAAAAACAAGGGCAAGAGTAACTCCATACACCATTTGCTGTAGGTGAGGGGATCGAACCCTCCCAAACACATCCCAAAAAATAAGGGGGCACATGCATGTCAAAGGAAGAGGACAACAGCATTGCCCATGTGAAACATTTGCCGGGACTACAGACAACTTGGACGAGGGTCTGACACGGACTGACATTCCGTCATGATGGGAAACACCGAAAAATTTTGTTTTCGGCCTCTCGTCCACGCATGGGCCACGACCCAAAGGTGAGTGAAAGGTCAGTGAAACGCAACACAAAAAAAATGGGTCTGATTTTCACTCACGTTCGGGACCCCCAGAGGAACACGGCAAGGAAAACAAAAGAAAGACCACCCAATGGGATGCTCCAAAAAAACATATATTTTCGAGGGCTAAAATACAGGAAAAACAAAACCACCGATCCCCATTCCCATCGACGGCGGAGGCTGGTCACACTCCCTCTACACTACTCCACATACAATGCTAGTGGGATCTCCCTCCTGCTGGAAAACGGATCCAGCATCCCTTTTTTTTTCTAATTTTATTATTATTATTATTATTATTATTATTATTATTATTATTATTATTATTATTATTTATTATTATTATTATTAAAGAATGCCATTCCATTTTTGCCAGAAACCGGGTCTGGCGTCCCCCTTACATTTATGCCGTGGCCATTCAGGCTGGGCGAGGCACTCCCTGCCAAGCCCATGCCTACCACAGCCAAAAAGGCCCGTCTTGACTACGCGACACATGGGCAATAGGGGATCGCGTTAGCGCTGCAGCGTTCGTAGCAGTGTGTAGCTAGAACCGGTCGTTGGGGCGATGGAGATGGTAGGGTGAAGGGAGTGCGGACTCCATGGTGGGTGTCGTCTCAAGAGAGCATCACCGTGCTCTCATCGTTACCTGGTCCTGGTCGACCTTGAGTTGGCAATCCTAGTTGACTATGGTAGGAAGGAGTGTGATGTGAGGGTGGTTGACAGGCAGGATCCATGCGTCGCGTCATATCAGAATTTACAATTGATCAGGGGCGTTTGCCTCTGGTTACAGATACGGAATACTACAATGTTTTGTCGGCATTTTCTTTTCATGGTGCTGATAGTGTGTCAAAAATATGATCGTCTGAGTGTGAGAATAGGGATACTCTGTTTGTAGTGCTTTTCAAATATATTTGGGACAATTGCGATTTTGGTGTGAGTGTCGATGATTTTAAGGAGAAGGAGATGACCTCCGAGCAATACTTCTCCCGCTATTATTTGTGCATTGAAGTATTGGTTTAGGTGAAGACGATGGTGGTGGCAGGTGATATGGGTGGCGTGCTTAAGAGAGGGTGACTCGGCAATCTCTATGGGCGCTGTCACGGCGGTTGACAAAATGGTCCTATGACCCTGAGGCGGCCTTGAGTTGTTACTGGAGTGAAGAACACTGTGCTTGGCAGTGATATTGTCGTTGCGCTGCTGATTGACGGGTTTCAATTGCTGGCACGGTGCCGGAATAAGGGTTTTGTTACTTTCTGTCATCTCCCTGGTTATGATTATGTTGACTGATTGCCAAGATTGGCGATGATGACGGGGTGTCTTCCCTTCTACGTGGTGTGATGCTTTCCCTTCTACGTAGTGTGATGCTGCTCTCTCCTGTTTCGTCCATGGTTTGCCGAACAGGTAAGCGATCAGGATTTTTCGCGCTCAAATGCTGATTGGGAATTTGGTGAAGATTCTCTTTATTTCGTATTGCTTCTTATTTTCTTTTTGTGATCTTTGTATTTCAATGAATGTGTGTTTATATTTTGGGTACTTGATTAGGGCTTTTTAGTGGGAGATTGTTGAGTGGGGATTTTGGAGAGGATTTTTATATTTTGTATGGCTGTTCCTTTTTCTCTCTTTTACCCTAAATAGCCGCTTTACTGTTCTTTTTTCGTTAGCCGGTGGTTTTTTGCACAGTGTTTGTTTGGATTATGCCTTCATTTACTGTGCATTCTCGATTTTACTGTGCATGAAGGAAATTAGTGGCAATTATAGAAAGTGAATTCGAATCTGTTTACAATTGGTTGTCATAAACCTAGTTTGGTGCCCCTACTGTGGACCACTGGAAGTAGTTTACGGTCCGATTTTGTGCCATTTGCTTAACATAAGCTATTTGGTTTATTACTGGTTGCTTGTTGATCTGCATCTTACTCGTTAGTTTCTGATTTTGGCAAATGAACGATGGATCCTCAGCATAACGAATTGTGTGATATGGTTCGTAGATGCTTTTTGACAGGCCAAGAAGAACCTCAAATAGCAGAAAGATACATTGCTACCAAACGCGATGAATCGAATAGTACTGTGGTGGTTGATATAGATCCAAGAGCATCGGGGGTTACAGTAGATTATCTCTGACAGCATGCAGTATTGGTTATTTTTCAGGGCCTGGGAAGCGATGTTCCGTTTGCGATCAAAGAAGAGTGGATACGATCTGTCGAAGTGGGGTGGGATCCTGCTATGTTGCGTGGTCAGCTTGGACGAATCAGGCCGGAAGGGCCAAATATGATATCATATTTGGCAGTTAATCACGTGCTCCGTGATTGGCTGATCCACACCCTGCGGCAAGAGGACAATGTGGTTGTGGGGGGCAAAAGATGTAAAGTGTTGTATAAGCCGTGGGCAACACCGGCTGAGCAAGCCAAAGCTAGGGAAGACCTCCAAGCCCAGATTTTCTGGATTAGGGTATTGAGAGTGCCCTTCCTTGCGATGCCCTTTCTGGAGGCTGCGATTAGAAAAGAGTTTGGCCAAGTGCTTAAAAGTTATTCGCCGGAACAAAACAAGGCGGCACCGCGTCTGGTTAATCACAGATTTGATCTCCATCCGCGTGCTAAGTCTAGAGTGACTAAGGGGCTCGTTCGACACTCCTCGGGGCTTCCTCGGGCCCCAAGGACGATTCCTCGGAGTGGTTGGGGGATTTTGACGCCTTCGTTCCACTCATCCTCGGAGTCGTCCCCCGAGGACGATTCCTCGGGGCTCCCGCGACCAGATTTATATGCGTATTAACAGCCGCGGGGTGTGGGTACGACGGGTGGTCTTCATTTGTGTCCGTCTGGATTGCCGTGGTCCAGCTTTTCGGGCCGCCGTCCAAGAAATGACGTCGTTCGAAAAGAAAAAAAGGGCCTTCGGGAAGGCGCGCAAGGGACGAATTCAAAATTTGAAAATTCGAAATGTGTGCGTGCGAGTGGAGGCGGGCGACGGACGTCAGCCGTGCGGAAGAGGGCCCGGGGG